ATGTTGGCCAGGCTGGTCTTAAATTCCTGACCTCAAGTGATCCACCTGCCTTGGCCTCCCAAAGTGCTGGGATTACAGGTGTGAGTCACTGAGCCTGGCCATTTCCTTCTTTTTAAAATGGAGCAGTATTATTTATATCATAGAGATGTTCTGAAGATTAAATAATACATATAGAAAGCTTAGCAGTGGCAAACACACTTTAAAAAGTGTGTTTGATAGACGTTTGATAATTATTGATAGATGTTTGATTTCCACTTTTGGACTGTTTTGAGTAAAGCTGATATGAACTTTCTGTTTTTGAGATAGAGTCTTGCAATATTGTCCATGTTGGTCTTGAACTCCTGGGCTCAAGTAATCTTCCTGCCTCAGCCCTCCAAGTAGCTGGGACTACACATGTGAGCTATCATGCCTAACTCTACATTTTTGTATATATATTTTTTGGTGGACATAGGCATTCATTTCTCTTAGGTGTATACCTAGGAGAATTGCCAGATCACAGATATATTTAATTTCTGTAGATACTGCCAAACAGTTGTTTGAAGTGGCTGTAGTATTTTGTGCTCCTATCAGAAGGTGTGAAAATTCCAGTTGCTCCATACCCTGTCCCATAGTTGATATAGTCAGTCTTTTAAATTTTAGGCATTCTGATGGGCAGGTAGTGGTATTTTATTGTGGTTTTAATTTACATTTCGCTGTTAAGTAATGATATGGAAGCACCTTTTTTTTTTTTTTGAGACGGAATCTCGCTCTGTTGCCCAGGCTGGAGTCCAGTGGCATGATCTCAGCTCACTGCAGCCTCTGCCTCCTGGGCTCAAGTGATTCTCCTGCCTCAGCCTCCTGAGTAGCTGGGATTATAGGTGCGTGCCACCACGCCCAGCTAATTTTTGTATTTTTAGTAGAGACGGGGTTTCACCATGTTGGTCAGACTGGTCTCAAACTCCTGACCTCGTGATCCACCTGCCTTGGCCCCCAAAGTGCTGAGATTACAGGTGTGAGCCACCCCACTCGGCTGGAATCACCTTTTAATAGGATTTGTATATCTTTTTGTGTGTGTGTGTGTGAAGTGCCTGTTTACAGTCTTTTATTCATCATTATTATTTTAAAACTTGTAATGTTCGTTTTTTTTCTTATGGATTGCTATGTTGATGCTGGATGTGGGTCCTTTGGAAATAGATATTGTGAATACTCTTTCCTATCCTATGGCTTGCACTTTTACTTACTGAAGTCTTTAAGTGAACAAAATTTAATTCTAATGAAGTCTGTGTTGTCATTTTATTTTCTTTTATGGTTAGTACTTTTTTTTTTTGAGACAGGGTCTTATCTGTCACCCAGATAGGAGTGCAATGGCATGACCTTGGCTCACTGCAACCTTTGCCTCCCAGGTTCAAGTTATTCTCATGCCTCAGCCTCCTGGGCAGCTGGGACTTACAGGTGTGCACCACCACACCTGACTAATTTTTGTATTTTTTGGTAGAGATAGGGTTTGGTCATGTTGGCCAGGCTCGTCTTGAACTCCTGACCTCAAGTGATCAACCCACCTCGGCCTGTCAAAGTGCTGGGATTACAGGGGTGAACCACTGTGCCTGGCCTTTCTATGGTTAGTACTTTTGTGTTCATTTTGTTTTGTTTTGTTTTGTCACCTAGGCTGGAGTACAGTGGTGTGATCATAGCTCACTGTAACCTCAAAACCCTGGGTTCAAGCAGTCTTCCTGCCTTAGCTTCCCAAGTAGCTAGGACTACAGGTGTACACCACTACAGGAGTGCAATGGCGCAATCTTGGCTCACTGCAACCTCCACCTCCCAGGTTCAAGCAATTCTTCTGTCTCAGCCTCCCAAGTAGCTGGAATTATAGATACCTGCACCCAGCTAATTTTTGTATTTCTTAGTAGAGACAGGGTTTTGCCATGTTGGCCAGTCTTGAACTCCTGACCTTAGGTGATCCACTCGCTTTGGCCTCCCGAAGTGCTGGGGTTACAGGCATGAACCACCACACCCACCTTTTTTTTTTTTGAGATGGAGTCTTGCACTGTCGCCCAGGCTGTAGTGCTGTGGCACGATCTCAGCTCACTGCAGTCCCCACCTCCTGGGTTCAACTAACCTTCCTGCCTCAGCCTCCTGAGTAGCTGGGATTAGAGGTGTGCACCACCACACCCACCTTTTTTTTTTTTGAGATGGAGTCTTGCACTGTCGCCCAGGCTGTAGTGCTGTGGCACGATCTCAGCTCACTGCAGTCCCCACCTCCTGGGTTCAACTAACCTTCCTGCCTCAGCCTCCTGAGTAGCTGGGACTACAGGTGTGCTCTGCCATGCCCAGCTAATTTTTTTTTTTTTGTATTTTTAGTAGAGACGGGGTTTTACCATGTTGGCCAGGATGGTCTCGATCTCTTGACCTCGTGATCCATCCACCTCAGCCTCCCAAAGTGGTGTTGGGATTACAGGCATGAGCCACTGTGCCTAGCCTGGTTTTTTTTTTTTTTTTTTTTAGATGGAGTTTTGCTCTTGTCACCCAGGCTGGAGTGCAATGACGTGATCTCAGCTCACTGCAACCTCCGCCTACTGGGTTCAAGCGATTCTCCTGCCTCAGCCTCCCGAGAAGCTGGGATTACAGGCATGCGCCACCACGTCTGACCAATTTTGTATTTTGAGTAGAGACGGGGTTTTACCATGTTGGCTACGCTGGTCTCAATCTCCCGACCTCAGGTGATCTGCCCACCTTGGCCTTCCAAAGTGCTGGGATTATAGGCGTGAGCTACTTCACCCGGCTGCTAATTTTTTTAATTTTGTAGAGCTGGGTTTCACTGTTTCCCAGGGTAGTCTCAAACTCCTAGCCTCAAGTTATCCTGCTTTGGTTTCCCAAAATGCTGGGATTATAGGCATGAGCCACTGAGCCCGGCCTTGTGCCCTGTTTAAGAAGTTTTTGTTTTCCTCACATTCAAAAACATATTTAAAAAATTTGACACTATTTTTTTTTTCTCTACATGAACATAGGTGATGCCATGGAGAGCGGCAAGCCTGAACCAGTGCAAGTTGTTTTGGTTCAGAAAGAACAACATTCCTTTGAGCTAGATGAGAAAGCCTTGGCCAGCATCCTCTTGCAGGACCACATCCGAGATCTTGATGTGGTGGTGGTTTCAGTGGCTGGTGCCTTCCGAAAGGGCAAGTCTTTCATTCTGGATTTTATGCTACGATACTTATATTCTCAGGTAAGATAGAATTATTTTATTTCAAGTAAAAAGTGAGACTTTAATGTTCAAAAACGCAAAATAAGCTCATAGATTATCCTTGATGCATAAAATTTTCAATTAAGATTTAATGGATATTTCTTACTTCTCCTGTAGAAGGAAAGTGGCCGTTCAAATTGGTTGGGTGACCCAGAAGAACCGTTAACAGGATTTTCATGGAGAGGGGGTTCTGATCCAGAAACCACTGGGATTCAGATCTGGAGTGAAGTTTTCACTGTGGTGAAGCCAGGTGGGGAGAAGGTAAGGATGAAAATGACATACAGATTAACAAAAACAACTACAAAATATGAACTTGGGCATGTACTGTGTTAATCCAATTAAAAAACCTTTTATTGCAGAATTTAAAGTAAGTAAAGTAAGAATTAATGTTAAAAGTCTCTGTTTTGTCCTGAAATTTCAGTTTGTTGTAGATAAATAGGATTTTCTGACACAGATATGAGAAGTTATAGCTCTGATGTTTAACTGTAGTCTCCTTGGTCTGCTGATTGCATTAATTTTTTCGGAAAAGCATTTTTGCTAAAAGCTGTGCAGACTTTCCTTTGTACTTAGCAGTACTTTATGTTGTATTGCTTAGAGCCATGTAGGATTTTAAGATTCAATTAAAAATTATTAATCTGTTGCTGACTCTGTTAATTCCTATTTCAACATGTTTTTCCTTGAATAATTCAGGTTACAACTTCTTGTGTATGACAGCTTTCCTTCACACACTATTTTTGTGGGTGTGTGTGTATCCAACTTGGGGAGAATTTAAAAAACACGTAGCTTTTTAATTTGTTTGAAACAAACTGTTTCTGCCTGTTCTGCCTGTTACATTTTGTGTTCTTTACCAACTAAGGAAGCCAATGGCATTTTGAGTTTTATATTGTGTTTTCCACTGGTATATACCTGTTGATTTGTTTGTGCCTTTTATTAACTGCAATTTTCTGAAAATTTTTTTAGTAAAAGGAAAGAAGATGTGAAAACAAAAACCTTTTATCAAAGCGAATGATTTAAACATATTGATTGTCTTAAGATTCTTAAAAAAATGCATGAATATAGTTTGAGAGGTCATACTGAAAGTCTTCTAACAGAAAGCAGTTGTCATATGTGTTATTCTCCTCTCTGCCTCATTTTCGCTTCCCAGAGGCTGATGTTCTTACCTGTTATCACTTTTGTTCTTTACTTCCTTACTGCTGTATGAGTGGCACAGGCCTGGCCGCTGTTGTTCTGGGAGTTGAGCAGGGAAATGACATTGGCGATCTCACACTTCAGAAAGTGGGCATTCACTACCCCCCAGCTATCCGTAGGGCTTCTTATCCCCAGTCTCATCCATGCCAAATAAGGTATGGCCATAGAGCCTCTCCACAGATTTCTCTGTAAGGGTTAGGAGGAGTAAGTCATGTGTTTCTTTCTTTTTTTAGAGATAGCGTCTTGCTCTGTCACCCAGGCTGGAGTGCAGTGGCCCGATTTTGGCTCACCGCAACCTCTGCTTCTTGGGTTCAAGTGATTCTCTTGCCTCAGCCTCCTGAGTAGCTGGGATTACAGGTGCATTTCACCTTGGCCTCCCAAAGTGCTGGGACTACAGGCGTGAGCCACCGCACACGGTTGTCATGTGTTTCTTATGCAGACTGTTTCATCCATTTCATCTGTTTTAACTCCATCCTACAAGTATGCTTTCACAGCTATTTGTGCTTTTTTTTGGTTTTGTTTTTTTTGAGATGGAATCCCTCTCTGTCACTTAGGCTGGTGTGCAATGGCGCGATCTCAGTTCACTGCAATCTCCACCTCCACCTCCCGGATTTAGGGAATTCTCCTGCCTCAGCCTCCCGAGTAGTTGGGATTACAAGTGTGCACCACCAC